AAGAGAGAGATTGCAGAATATGTGAGCATTTGCCTTACCCGTCAGCAGGTTAAGGCAGAACATCAACACCCAGCAGGATTATTACAATCACTTACCATTCCAGAATGGAAGTGGGAGCATGTTACCATGGACTTCGTGGTGGGTTTGCCACGAACGGTTAGGAACTACGACACGGTATGAGTGGTAGTTGATAGGCTGACCAAGAGTGCTCATTTCCTACCGATCAACACAACTTATACGCTTGAACGACTGGCCAAGTTGTACACAGATGAGATTGTGAGACTGCATGGGGTTCCAGTTACTATAGTATCGGATAGAGACCCACGGTTCACATCACGGTTTTGGCCTAAGTTCCAGGAATCCATGGGTACGAAATTGAGGTTTAGCACCGCATTTCATCCTCAGACGGATGGGCAATCTGAACGGGTGATTCATATTTTGGAGGACATGTTGAGGGCATGTGCCTTGGAGTTCCAGGGAAGCTGGGACAATCAGTTGGCTTTAGTGGAATTCGCCTATAACAACAGTTATCAGGCAAGTATAGGCATGCCTCCATACGAAACATTGTATGGGAGGAAATGTCGGACACCTTTGTGCTGGGACGAGGTCGGCGAGGCTAAGCTTGAGGGCACCGATCTAGTCGAGATCACCAAAGAAAAGGTAAAGGTTATTCAGGATAGACTCAAGAGCTACGCAGATAAACGTCGGAGGGCGTTGGAGTTTGAGGTCGGTGATGATGTATTTCTGAGGGTGTCACATTGGAAGGAGATCATCAGGTTCCTCAGTCGAGGTAAGCTTAAACCGCGTTACATAGGCCCATTCAAAATCATTGAAAGGATTGGGGTCGTAGCATACCGACTTCAGTTGACTCCAGAGTTGGAAAAGATTCATAATGTGTTTCATGTCTCTATGCTCAAGAAGTATGTACGAAACCCGTCACACATTCTTGAGAAACCGCCGGTGGAAATCCGAGAAGACCTACACTATATGGTGCATCCAGTGAAGATCATAGACCGGCAGGTAAAGAAGCTAAGGAGCAAAGAGGTACCGATGGTAAAAGTACTTTGGAAGAGTGACCGCGTCGAGGAACAAACTTGGGAAGTGGAGACCCTGATGTGGGAACAATATCCATTTCTGTTTGACTAGACACGTGGATTTCGGGTACGGAATCCCAAATAAAGGGGGTAGAACTTGAAACACCGCCCCCAAGTAATTGTACTTTGTTAAAGTATGTATTGAATCCTAGGAAATGAATAAATGCATTTTATGTGATTGTAAATTTTTATCATTTCTTTTACGTAAATAGTAAAATTCACGTGGGGCCCACACCGGAAGTAGGGGCCGCCTGATTTTATTGGGACCACATATTATATTAATCTTGGACTAGATAATATGTATATGGTGGTGGGTATCCTAATTGGGCCATGGCAATGGCATAGGTTTGACCGGTTGGTCAAACGGGACCAAATTATCAATATCGGCAATTTATCAGATAACTGCCCGAAAAGGGATTTCGGAGACTTCTAACTTAAAGTTGAGGAATACATATTCCCTATAAGGTCCAGTAAGGATTGGGAACAAGTGTTATATTTTATTTGACCCGATAAAATAAAATATTATTAAAATAGTCCGGAAAATACAATTTTCGGGACCGATTGTACACTCCGGGACACAAAGGGTTGACCTCCCACATAAGTGGGGGCCAACCCACGTTTTTAGCTCTTCAAGGAGGTCAAGGGAGCCGCACAAGATAATGGGAAAGGAGCAATAATTGATTGGAGGCCAAACAAATATAAAGAAATGGGACCCCTCTCTCACATTATTGTGAGAAATGCCAAAAAGGCATTCTCAATCACCCCCATATCCCTTATGCTCGACCCAAGCCACCAAGGAAAGAGAGGAAAAGCTCTGCAAATCCCCATCTCCATTGTTGAAGGGAGCTCAAACAAGCAAGAAGCTAAATCAAGAAGAATGAGTTGCAAAAGTAGAGGAAAACCTTGAGAATAAAGGTGAGAAGCTTCTTGCTAACTTTTCTCCAATCCTTTTTATCATATGACTTTCATATCATATGAAGGACCCCTAGAATTGTTCTACATGTTTAGAAGTGTAGTATGAGGGGTTGGAAGGTAGTTCTAAGTCCAAGAATGGACTTAGAAGCCAAAGTGACCGGTTCGCCGGAAAATAACCTTTTAGAGGTTATTTGTATTAATATGGGTTGTATGATGTGAAACCTTGTTAGGAACTTGCCTAAGGTGTTCCTAGCATTTCCACGGAGTTGGAATACTTCGCCGGAGTTTCGCCGGAGTTCAACAAAACTTGTCGGAGTTTCACCGGAGTTCAACCAAGAAGGGTAGAACGCATTAAAGCTTCGTTTAAGGTGAGAAGACGGCTTTATGCTTTATAACTTTTGCGTGAGGCATGAGATTACCTAAATTAATCAAGAATGTGTTTTATGGATTGCTTAATGGTATTAAAGCATGTGTTTTGTTATGTTATAGAATATAGCATAGTTGGAAAACATGATGTGTAGGTTTGATTAGTGAAACCATCATAAAAATTATATGTATGATGTTCCAAGGACCCAAATAGGTATTTTTGGATCAAGGACGTCAAGGAATACTTGCATGTAAAATTTCACGTTAATCGGACTCCGTTTGGGCGGTCAAACAGGCGTTGACCGCCAAGTCAACTACTATACCCGACCGGGTATGGGCAAGTACCCGACTGGGTATTTGCTGTAAATTTGTGCCGGGGGTTACTGTCTCCTATACCCGATCGGGTATGGGTAGGTACTCGATCGGGTATGCATTGAAAATTCGCCCCAGGGGGCTACTGCCTCCAATACTCGACCGAGTACAGGTTGGTACTCGACCGAGTATTGGGTTTTTCACCCAATAGTCAGTTTTGAACGAGTGTAACGAGGGCCGTTCGGGTGGAACCCGCCTACGTTGATTATTAATGATTATTATCTGACTATAGGACTAGGTATTGTCCATAGTTAAGGGAATGAAAGGTTAGCCATACCCAGGTTAGGGTTTGATAAGGAATTAGGTTGATGTTGAGTATCCTCGGGACAGTAAATGATCCTAAAACTCGGTTGAGGTTGAGTATCCTCGAGACGGTAAATGATCCTAAAACTCGGTTGAGGTTGAGTATCCTCGGGACGGTAAATGATCCGAAAACTCGGTTGAGGTTGAGTATCCTCAGGACGGTAAATGATCCTAAAACTCGGTTGAGGTTGAGTATCCTCGGGACGGTAAATGATCCTAAAACTCGGTAGGATATTATGTATGTAGAATGTAGCTTGTGAGCTAGACATTCGGGTATGGATGGGAAAGGTCGGGTAATCACCTTATCTCTAAAAGACTCTTTGAATTAAAATGACTTACGGGTCAAGTATTTTTCACAAGTATATACGGTATGTATCATCTTGTAGATGGGGTAACGATGGTTACACCTATACATATATGTATCACCCTAATTTTTGGGTCTCGTGTCTGAAACAGTAGTTATTCCTCATATAGCCTGCTTGTCACTAGTACTTCTATGGAGTACTGACCCCTCCGGGGGCCCTCACATTTTTTCTAGTTAAGGCTAGAGTCCTACTACCTGCACCTTTGCCTAGGGTGGTTGATCAAGAAGGGAGACGTGGTTCGTGCTTCCATTCTTATTTGAAAGTTATAAACTGCTCATGGATATTTGAACAATGTTTTTCTTCTAAAACATTTGGGAGCCTGCGTGCTCGTGTTTGCCACATGTGGCTAGTTATCAAACATATTATATTTCCACATTTGTTTGATTATGATATTGACGTTGATTGTATGTGTTTACTAATCGGTTTGGCAATAGAATCTATCAGAAGCCTTGTATAATTCAATAGGGATGAACTGTTGTTGTTCTTATTGGGTTGTACGGCGGTTGTCTACGTGGCACGGATGCGGTCCGGGGCATGATACCATAGTTTGGAGCGGAGCGACAAGAGGAGATCGCTCCCTCCTGAACCGCAGTCATGGAGGAACTGAGAGACTATGGATTGTAACACGACGTTTGAAGGATGGATTCAGCTGCTCCACCAGTGTATCTTGTTTGATTTCGTTTTACCCATATTTAGTTTGTTAATTATGAACTCCGTTGCTATCGTCTTGCTTTTGGTCGTAGTTCATGGTGCTAGGTTTATTACGATGACTGAGGTTTCAACTTTCAACTAGATTTGATATAGTTAGAGGGGGACATATCTATTTTTTCAGCGACAGGTGCATTAAGTCCTCCCGGTGGTTAGCGATTCATATTGTTCATTCAGGGGTGGTCTTCTCTATGTCTAATCATAGGGCTGGTAGTAGTAGTTGGAAGGTGAATATTGTAGTCAGTTTTGGTCACTTTGAGATTGATGTAATGATCATGATTCTAATGATATCAATATAGACGATTTCCTTTCAAAAAAACTAAAAGAAGCATCCAAACCCTAACTGCTCGTTCCTCCCCTGGCGGTGGTTCAGGAGTGGGGCGAACCAATAACACACCACCCTCTTCCTTCAAGTCCAACTAATCATAGACCCACTGTTTGTCACTGGCTTTTTCTTTTTCATCCATCGATCCCCATCCTTCCATAATCTTGAGCCATAACCTATGTCTCCTCGTGTCAGTTGCCTTTCATCGCTACCCTCTTGCGCGTTGTTGTGGTCGACTGAAAATCCCTTCATCCGGAGCCCTCGGCGTTACGACGATGCTCGAAGAAAACTTGCACCAAAGTCTGTAGACGAATCGCCGCCATTAAACCCTAGGCAGTGTACTTACCCGTCTGCCACAACTCCATGCTATAATTAGAACAAAGTTTTGAACTAGCATATTAATTTTAGATTCAATTAGACTTTTTATCAAAATAAGATTAAATATGACTTAGTTATCGACTACCACGTGATATAAAAAATAAAAACTGAATGATTGATGTTTGTGAAGAAGAAAGACGTATAAGTAACTAAGTAAGTTTTATGGAACAAGGATCAAAATATTACTTTGAGATTTTAAGTGGACAATAATATGAGTGATTTGTGTGTGGACAAAAAAGTGAGAGCTGGTATTTGGCAACCATATCCCCATCTGCGCATCTTCTTCCGTAAATTTGCAAGGCTATCTCAATCTTCTTCTTCCTCCATGTGTCTTCTCTGCTACATAGCAATCGATTCAATGACCAGACCTCTTCTCCGCCACCACCGCTCTCTTGTTTCCGCCGCCGCCACAATTCTTATTCTTCTCATTTCTACTTCGCCTCTGCAATCTTCTCTACTCGTAATCTTCCATGGCTGCACCTCCGATAGATCTGTCTTCCTCGATGCATTTCCGCCGATGTTGGATCCACCGTCTTGGATTGGCGTTGACTCCGATTTTGGGTTGTGGGTGTCGGCTTCGTCGCCCTTGATGGACAACCTCTCCGATTCGAGGTAGCGAGTGCTGGATCCATCGTCCTCGATGCCAGAGAGGTGCCTGAGGGAAGGATAGGGCCGAAGCAGGGGGCAGGGGGGCAGGGGAGCAGGGGAGCAGGATGGGTGATGGTGCCTAAGGTTAGTGGGCTGGTGACAGGTTGGTGGGGCTGGTCGGTAGTGACGTGTCTGATTGCAAGGGCGGGACAGGGGCGGCGGTGGATGTGGCAGAGGCGGCTGCTAAGTATGGGGCAGGGGCAGCGGCGTGGGCGGGGCAATGTGAAGCGGTGGACGAGGCAGGGTGTGGCGACGGACGGGGGAGGGTGAGGCGGCTGACAGGGCAGGCTGCGGTGGCTGCGCCGTTCGACGGGGGCAGGGGTGCCGGTGGACGGGGCAGGTGACAGGTGTCACTATGATGGTGTCACTGGTGGAGTGGTGGTAAGTGGTGGTCTCCGGTGGTGGGTGAAGATGCGAGGTCATGTGACTGGTGGTGACCGAAGGTGGCAGGTCGTGGTTGGAGTCACTGTGGAGGTATCACTTTGACCGAAGGCCATGTTACTTTGACCGAAGACTGTGTCACTGTGGTGGTATGCTCGGAGGTCGTGTCACTATGGTGGTGTCACCGGAGGCTTTGTAACTGTGGCGGTGTCAGCGGAGGCCGTGTAATTGTTGCGGTGTCACCGAAGGTTGTGTAAATGTGGAGATGTCGCTGCGGAGTTGTCAGTGTAAACGTGTCACTGTGATCGACAACGATGGTAACTAGCGGCGGCAGGAGTGGCGGCATTGATATGGATCATGACGGCGGAGATGTCACTGCAGATATTTCACTGTGACCGGGGATGGCGAATATGTCACTGTCGAGATTAGCTGCGGAAGTGTCACTACAGACATGTCACTATGCATTAGTCACATTTTTATCCAAATATAAACATGGTCACTTTTTTGGAAATTGACGTTAGTTTAGTAATATTAATGGAAAAACCCCAAGATTTAATAATTAGGTTGAATTTTATCAATTAACGACTTGAAAGATAGATTCGCTATCAATAATAGATTTAGAAGATAAAGTGTAAAGAATGTGAATGATTGAAAATTATAAATCAACGATCTAACATATCATAAATCTTGATGTTTTTATTAATTCAATTGCTATTTTATGATGATATTACAATAAGATTAAGTAGCATTTATTTATTTTTTAAATAAAATATTATATCAGTCATTTTTTATATTTACCGGTGGCAGCGACCGAGGAAGTTAAGGGCAGGGAGGCAGGGGCCATGTGTGGGTAGTTGGATAGATATTTGAATTGCAAGAAAAGTATATTAATTAAATAATGATTAGTCATATTTTTTTAAAAATGATAATTAATCATATTCTTGTCTATCAAGTGTAGAGATAAAATTCTTTCCTTTTTTCAAATACTCTATTCTGTTTAAATTAATTACTTCAAAGTCAATTGATGACTCTGAAATTAGTTGAATAGGTTGAATTTGATGAAATTGTTGAAATTCATGATATCTTCTCTTTTTAGCATTGATATCATGGATTGATTCATGTTAGCTGACCCCAAGATCTTTTGGGATGAATGCTTGGATGTTGTTGTGTTGTTGAAATTTTGGCTGAAGCATGTGAATTGGTCAAATCTGCTGAATTGTGAAAAATAATATGTGAAATTTATTTTATTAATAAAATAAAGATGAAGTTATATGAAAAATAGCTAAATGTCAACATTTTAGTCAAATCAATTAGAAAATTATCTCGAGCCTTACTTATTGTGATTATTATACTTTTTTGGTCCCATAAAATTTGACCAACTCTGACTTGCACAAAGAATAAAGTAAAAAACTTTATGATTAAAATTTTTCTAGAGGATAGTGTAATAAATTTAACCACGTATTTATTACTTAAAATGGAAATGATAATGTTTTTTGGAATGACTAAATAAGGAAATTTAACATTTTGTGAGGCAGAGGGAGTACAATTCAATGAGCGGAATTGAAAGTGAGGTGGTTCTTGAGTGGTTTGATGACATGTTTTATGGTTTTTTGCCTTTTTTGGAAAATGTGATTTTTTTTAACAAAGGAAATTTAGTTATCATTAATAAGATCATGATGAAGTACATGAACAATAAAATCACGCGGAACAAAATGCCAAATGTGATGCTCAACCATAGAACACGCCGCCCTAGCTAGAGAGATAGCAACAGTGTTCGCAGAACGCCGAACATGAGAAAAAGTAATGCTACTAAAATGCCTACACAGAATAACGATATCCTCAGCTAGAACCCCCCTGGTCGAGCAACTAGGCCCATTATTTATCTCAGCAATAGCCTGTGAAGAATTTGATTCAACTTCTATAAAATTCCATTCTTGTTCCTTTAACCAACTTAAAGCCTCCCGAATACTCAATAACTCGGCTTCAAGCGAGAGACACCCACCCGGCCTTTGACAAACTCCTCCTGCTAGAAACTCCCCATCTCCATCTCGCAACACCCATCCCAACCCACACCGTGATTCCAATAGGGATGCATCCACATTGAGTTTCACCTTCCCATTTGAAGGACGGTTCCAGTGGGCTTTCCCCACCTGCACTACATGAGCAACCGGGTCTCCTCCCTTCTGTGCCATAGACCAGCCCTCAAGAAATACCTTGGCCCGGACAACAATCTGATTTGCAGATGATTCAACCCCCTGCCAAACTCGCAAATTGCGCTCACACCAAATTCCCTATCATCCTAAAACAATGAATTGCAAATCCTCCACCTTATGTCTGAAAGGCACCTGGAAATTATTAATTATTAAACATGTAATCCCACTTTTTGAAACTAGTCTAACACGAAATAGTAAATAAATGTATAAAATTGTATGAAACTCTGTTTTAACGTGAAAACACAAAAGGGTGAAAATTATCGGACTTTTCGAACTAATGCCCAAGCCACTCTCATTTTATTAATACACTCCTCACCATTTTAGTACACGTATTAAACCTTAGACGTCAATCAGTCATTAATGGATCTCAAATCCCATCGAGAGAGAAGGGGGTGTGGAGAAGAAGAAGGATAGCTTAAAGAGAGAAAAGGAACCCCAAAACATGGAGAGAAACCTCCTATTTATAGGAAAAGGGGGAGAGGGTGCAACTCAACTCTAATGGGCCAAAATGAACCGGATTAGCCAGAAAAGGCATGTTGGGTCGAGATGGACCTTACTGATCGAGCTCCATATGTGGGTATTGCATTGAGCTCATGAACAGTAATAGACCAAGATAATATACCCAACATGCTCTAAAGTTTCAGCTTTTGTGCTATGTTATCTAAGGTATTGTTTATACTTACACATATTTCTTTAATAATAAAAAGTTATATAATAACAAACACAAATAACTAATAAAATAACAACAAAATATCATTGTCATTCAACAACAAATAAAATGTAAATTGTGATTTAAAATATCAACATATTAGTGAATAGCAAAAGACTAAAGTTTATGTACAAGTGTTTCGCTTAGTTAAATCATAAATTTCATAAGTCAATATGTTACAAATCATATAAATTTCTAGAATTAAGAACGAAATCAAATACAGAGTATTACACTTAATGATTAATAAATAAAATAGCATATTTCAAAAAGTTCGATTTGTTCGGTTTGATTTTTAGAGGTGAAAACCAAAACTGAACCAAACAACTATGGTTCGATTTGTTTTTTTTTTTGAGTTCGATTTTGGTTTTTTTTTGTGATTGGGGTTTTGTCTATTCGGTTTTAGGCTATCCATTTGGGGAAATTTAATTTTGCACTCCACTTTTATGGTGATATTGTATTCATTTTTTAAAAACTTTGACCTTGCACCCCGTCATATAACATTTCGTAAGAAATATTTTTGAATAGAGTGCAAAATCATTTTTCAAATGAAATAGATGTAAAGTCAAAGTTTTTAAAAAATGAAGTCCATGCTGACATGTTTTGCCCGTTAGATAATAAAGCTTTGGAAAAATCATATGGGTGGAACTTAGAGCAGGAGGAGGGGAGAAGCCTCGTCCTACAGGAGGAAACAAATGGTCAGTGTCAGAAGGACCCTCATTCACAGGTATGGGGTTGAAACAACAGAATGATACTTAGGGTAGACATGGATGAACGGAAGCAGGGAGACAAAGTTGGATTGTTACTACGGCTGAACAAGGGAAGAGCATGACTGGGAAAGGTGGATCAGTTAATACCGAGGAGGTGCTTGGTGATCAAAAGCGAAGGAGGCTATGAGAGGAGCAGGAACATGAAAACCCAAGTGATGATAGCATGGCTCTGGATAAGCAAAAAAAAACGGGAAGGAGGCGAGTCCCGGACACCAGACCCGTCAAGAATTTTAAAGAAGATCATGATTGGTTCGGAGTGTGGAAGGTTCTCGTGTTTTTGAGGACAATCATCAGTTTGATTATGCTATCTTTATTTTTTCTATTTACTTTGATTAGACTGTTTTTATTTTTGCATTTTATTTCTCTTTCTGACATATTTTTGCATTAGGATTGAGTGATGAGAGGTCAACTTTGACCATTGTTAGCTTAATTATGCTCATTATAGGATCAATAAGTCATATTGTGAATGGCATGATATTAATTTAAGCCTCTTGCCCAAAAGAAGTCGAAATTCTCCTTTGCCAGTAGGATGTCAATTTAGGGAAAAGGTACAAATATACCCCTATAGTATGGGTGTCGATACAAATATACCCTGTTCTATTTTTCGGAACAAATATACCCCTGAAATATATGTTGAAGTTCATATATATCTTTGAACTTTTAAAAAGGTTCCAAAATATCCATCATGTTCTTATAAAGGAGCAAATTTATCCTTATTGGCTTTAAATTGAAATAAATTTCAAAAAACACCCAAAAAAATTATAAATTCGAAATATAAGAATAAAAATTTTAAATATGTAATTGTGTCCAATTCTCCCTTTTATTGTTTTTATATCACAATTTAATATTGTTAGTATAAGATATTATTTCAAAACTTTACTATATGTTTAAGATTCTTTCGAAAAAGTGTTAACACATGTGTTGCAATGTAAAAAAATATTAATTTTTGCATTCTTTGCACTATAAATTACATATTTTGTATGATGATATATAGCCCAAGATTACAAAACAATGAATTTAATTTTATTAAGGTTAAACGAAATCAAAGAATGTTATTTCAAAAAATGAAATAATGTGGTCAAAATTACGCAACAAGACTAAAATTAATATTTATGAATTTGAAGTGCTTCATTTACAACGGAAAAATAATATATTTTCAATTTAAAATTAAAGAGTTAATATTTTAACATAATACTAAATCTTTATTTTTAAGTTTTGAATTTTTAATTTATTTCTGGTGTTGTTTGAAATTAATTTTATCTATTTAAAATCAATAAGGGTAAATTTGCCCCTTTATTAGAACATGAGAGGTATTTCTGCACTTTTTAAAATTTCAGTGGTATATATGCATTTCAATATCAGTACGTATATAGTGCATTCGGGTGTACGTACACCCGGCCCAAGTCAGAAAGACAGCCCAATCACTAATTAAGACAAAAAAAAATTCGGTGTCATTTTTGTAATTTAAGCGAAAAATCACGGTTTTCGCTAAATGAGCAATGATGTAATTTTAATGAGCATCTGACCTATCCTATGAATTTCAATACGTGAATCTAACGTAAAATAATACTTTAAAAAATGCATTCATATGACACTTTAAAATGAGCAATAATCAGTACCAAATGAGCATACGTAACTTACAAAATGTTCATTGATTTCTGCTTCAGAACTTCTGATTCACTTTCTTTGTGTTCTTTTTTCTTTTATAAAAACTTATTAAATTATACTTATAATTAACTCCTATGAATTTCAATACGTGAATCTAACGTAAAATAATACTTTAAAAAATGCATTCATATGACACTTTAAAATGGGCAATAAATCAGTACCAAATGAGCATACGTAACTTACAAAATGTTCATTGATGTGAAAATCGTAAGATTTGTTAGTTTGACATAATGACATTTTCATTGAGCATCTAACCCCATCTATTGAGATGAAAATCACAGTTTCTGTTAAATGAGCATTAATAAAATTTCAATGTGCATCAAAAGGATCGGTGTCCGATTTTCAAAAGTCAAAGCAAACAAAAACTCAAAAGGATAATTCTCTGCTATTAAAAACTAAAAATGTAAGGCCAGGTCACATTTAATCAAGTGTTTGTTGTTTTTTATGTGCTCCTATATCTATAATCAACTCCTACATGAATCTAAAAAATAAACTGAAACATTTAATAATATTTTATATTATATATATTCATAATAATTGAATATAAAAAAGGTTTCTAAAAAAAAAGAAAAGGAAGGAGAACAAACAAAAAAACAAAAAAAGAAGAATACAAAAGAAAGGAGACTTACGAAATAAGGAGAATGTGAATGGAGCAGCGGCAGGAAAAGAAACCAGTTCAGCACTTCAGCTTAATAATTATCCTTAAACTTGGTACTAATTTCAAAAATACCTAGGATATATTTTGCCTTTCAATATATACTTCAAAATATTTTTATTCCGAAAAATAGAACAAATGTATATTTGTTGTCGTGGGGTAGAACCAGAAGTATATTTCAATATTTGCACTTCAATTTATGCAAAAACCCTGGTCACCCCTCCCTAACTCCTAAAACCCAAGTTCTTTTGTTTTTTTCAGAACGAATTACCCATGACAATGGCGTTAATCGAGCTTCTCCTCTCTCAAGGACGTCGTCACTGCTCTAGAAACGCCCCATTTCCCCTATCTCCCGCTATCCGCCTTCATTTTCAAAGATTTCTCTCTTCTGCAACCGAATCACCTCCTACCGTCAATCTAATTCCAAAACCAGACGATAGAAAGCCAGCGATCCAAATACAACCAGTTTCCTACAAACCTAAAGATCCTCATGAGACCGTATCCAATGATTCCTCTAAAACTGTTCCGCATCCCATTTCATACAATACCAAAATTCCGGCTGACCCTAATGCTCCCGAGGGCCCGATTAACCCGGACAGTCAAACATGGACACGAGAGGATCTTCGGTACATGAAGGATGTGCCGACAATATCTTCGGTTTCGTACCCGACTCGCGTGGCCCCTTTGCCTGAAGACCGGGTTATGACAGAGGGCGAGGGTAATCATCAGGAAGAGAGAAAGGAGAGAGGCGATGAGGAGCTGGAGAGAGAGAGCAGGAGAATCCAGTTCGAGAAACGGCTCGCGGCTACTAATATGATGGAGTCACAAATGGTTCCTTTTCCGACCTTAATTAAGGTGGAGAATGAAATGGCCAAAGTGAAAACCGTTTTTGATCTCAAGGAGGCAATTCGCCTCGTAAAGGTCAGTCTTTTAGTGATCTCTTTCTGAGACTTCGTTCCTTTATTTTTCTTAGCTACATTTTTAGCTGCAATTAGTTTGTCCATGGTACTCTGGGAAAAAAAAGAGTAAGATTTGTGGTTGGAGTTTTTGAAAGGGAGCCTGATTGAAAAAGGCAAGAAACGCCCCATTTATTGTAGGATGCTTTCTTCTAAATCCATTGTTGGCGTTATGTTTAAAGCTCAATTTGTCTTTGATATTGGTGGAGAGAAGTTGGTTGCTTTAGATGTTAATGGTTGGTTCCTTTTATTTGTATCACAAGAGCGTGGTGCATGCTATATAGCCTCTATAATGGTCGATAATAATAAAGAACCTAATCGGCCAATAGAATCTGCTGTGAACGGATCAAGTAGAATTGTAATGACTTTTCTGATCACAAATTCTCAACTCACAGGGAATTTCTCTCTCATCTCTAGATGTTTAACTTTTTTTAGGTTTTATTTGTATCTTAGAAAATTATTGGTACTGTGTGGATCACCCTAGTTGCCTACATAAATATAGATTTATGGTTCATTCTGCAATTAGGCTGTGAGTCTTTCAAAAAAGAATTGTTTAATCCAAACATCCTTCAGCAGGCCTTGCTACACACCTACTGAAGGCTGTAGGGAAGTGGATATCAAGTTAGATGACCTGCCTTTACACCGGTTCTATTTTGTTAAATGATACTACCTCCGTCCCAAAAAAGAGTCATGTTTGACGGTTTGACCAATGCACAACTTTTTAGTTTTGGTAAGGTACAACTGCTTTTAATCATGAATCGTTACTTAATCTTTTCAGTTGCTTTGTTGGGTTAACTAAATTATCCAATGTGGCTAGTGTACTTTTTTGGGTACTTCAATTCAAATTACATGAAAAGTAAGCTTCATGTGATCAAATTAGACTCTTTGCACAAAAAAAGTGTTTGAAACGTGTCTCTTTTTTTCTGGGACAGATGGACAGAGCAATAGAGCATGAGAGTATGTTCATTGTTACAAATTCCGAGCTACTCAGATAGTATTACTGTTGTGGGTAGTGTATAATATAATTTGACTATTTCAGTGTATTGAAGTCTGGTAGTTTATTTACTTCATTCTGTTAAATCACTTACTTTACTCTAGAAGTTCACAATCGTTTAACAGTCTCAGACTTTGTTCTGGACATAGTAATAATTGAGAAGTGAGGGCAAATTCACTTGATATATTTTGCACTATGCTTTATTCATATACCTTTATGGTATTCTAAAGAGGTAAATTCTTGCTCTGTGGGATGTTCACTTCTAAAAGATAGCAACTGACTAAACTACTTTATGCTTATCTGTCTTTCTTGTAATTGTACAGTCAAATGCAAGGACAACATTTGATGAGACTTTGGAAGCACATGTAAAATTGACTCCAGAGATGCGTCGAAGCGACCTGGTTTTGCTTTTTGCCTCTTTCCCTCAAACCAATTTTTCCTTTTGTTAATACATTGAAATAAGGTGTTATCTAATAGCAGTAATAGTAAGTTGCTTAGGTATATTACCATATAATATGAACATAAATGGTGGGTTCAAATATTTACTTATTTAGGTTTTCAAATTTATGTTGAAGTCACTGATTTTGTTAGGACATATAAGACTGGGAAAGGTTTATAAAATTATATTCTTAGTATGTTTTAATTTTTTCTTATTACAGAAACTTGATGGTGCTGCACGACTTCCTCATGGTTGGGGAAAGGTACAATATTCTAACCCCCACGTCTCACATTTTTTGTTCTGCTGCCTCAAATTTTCTCTCAAATATGTGTAACTTCTAAAAACATTCACATCCTTAGAAATTCAGAGTTGCTGTCTTTGCTGAAGGAGCGGATGCAGATGAAGCCCGAGCAGCAGGAGCTGATGTTGTTGGTGGTTTGGAGCTTATACAGAATATAAAAAATGGTATTTTATTCTTACTTCATATGTTGGTGTGAAATGTCAAATGAGGGTACTGACTTGAAAGTTGAAACATAAGCTGAGAGCCCGTTTGGTAAAATCTGAGATTAATGAAGTGACTATGTTTGAATCTGATAGATTTGTTAATGTTGTGGATGAATTTGATGAATTTGTTCGTATTAAACTGATTAGATTTAACATCAAGAAATGAATGTAGAAGAAGCGTCATTTCCGTTTGTTTCATTCATTTAAGCAAATTTGAAATTGCTTATTGTGTATTTGAGGTTGTTTTTTAGCATTGCTTATTGCGTAAGCTTCATTGTAAGCTACAGCTTCATTGTAATTGAGGCATAAGCTACATTTTTTACACAAACTAATAGTAAAAAATACAAACAGTAATAAAAAATGAATTAAAAATAATCACTAAAAGCCAACAAATATCTTAATTAAATAAAGGGGAAATAATTTAAATATCCCAAACTTTGGAAGGGTGTGAGATAAGTACCCCAATCTTGCACATGTAATATATATACCCCACACTTGATATAAAAAGTGATGTTAACACCATGATCATATATTTTTTTCACAAATGTAATTTTATGGTGTTAAGTACATGATTTAAAATACACAAAACATTTATGAGGATGCAATTAAAATTAAATTGTATCGGTGTAATATTATTTATTTCACAAATGAAATTTTATAATGTTAACTGCATTCTAACAAGGCTTAGAGTATTTTAAATTATGTAATTATTCCAATAAATTTAAATTTGTAAAAAACATGCAACCATGGTGCAAAAATAAATTTTTATCTAAAGTTTGGGGTATATATATTACATATGCAAGTTTGGGGTACTTATCTCACACCTATTAAAATTTGGGGCATTTAAATCATTTTCCCTTATAAATAAAAATGATGTCATAAAACAAAAAAAGTATGGACATAGATGTATATTACCGAACAGATTTCATATTTTGTACGAACATAATAATAACATTTATTTTCCTCCAGTCCATATATATGAAAAACAATTTAAAAAGTTAAAATCATGCAGCTGCTTGCCTGCTTCAATAAGTTAAAACAATATTCTGGACTCCCTGCATTATTATTCAAACCATGCAGCTGCTCATAATCGTATCATCGTATGATATGAAAACAACCTTAAAATAATATAAAACCGCACCTGCTTATCGTGAAGTGGTGAACAAACAAAATAAATAGAACACCTTTAGCTTTGCACAGAACTGCTGAAACGCAGAACTGCCTTCACAGGCACAGCTGTTGCTCAGAGAAGAAGTAAAGTTGCAGGATAGCATCAGAAGCAGTGTCGTAGAGGACTTATATACACGTAAACTTTAAAATATATTTGGGTTTAATTTCAGAAGAGGCCCCGATTTCTTTTCTACACCCGCGGAAGAACTTTATTGTCCATAGGAATGCTTCTTCCAGATAAGGTGCGCCTCAGAAAACACACTATTCGTACCCCTATGGCGTACGCCTCTGGTACAATTGCGCAAGTTCCAGTATTGCTTATATTGGGATACACCTCCCATCGTAAATAGGTAAACAATCTCAAGGCGGTAAGGCATTGCACAACGTAAAACAATGATTTCGGCCGAAAGTTAATTCTGCACCATTTTTCATTGTTAGTCAGTTCAGCCTACACAGTAAAGTGCCTTACCAAATGGGAATTTAAAATATGTAGGAAAATATCCAGTTTAATGATGGTATCTCACATAGAGTAATTTATGCAACTTTAAACCCATAATTCTTATTGAGAGTGTGTTTGAGGTATTGTTTCTTTATATCATATTTTTCTTTGCGTTTGTAAGGTTCATGTTGTTACAACATATGGCTTTATTTTTGTATGTTCCAGGGTTGGGGGAATAGTTGCAGTCATCTGTATCCCTCACTAACTTCTACTTTCTGTTTGAATTCCTATAGGCAGTGTGAAGATCGATTTTGACAAGTGTTTGTCCACTCATTCAATGATGCCAAATTTGAGACAGGTTTTATAAACCTAAACCTTAGTTTCATTTTATGTTGTTGGATTTTTTATTTGTGATGCGCTGTTAAAAATCAACAGGAACACAAAGTTTGGGAGAAAAGAGAAGACTGGCATTCTCTTTTCTAAATTTACAATTAATTACTAATAAAAGCTACATTGACCATTTCCATCATTTCCGGTCACAATTTGAGTATAACTTTTATCCAAGTTAGAGAACAGAAAACAAAGAATGAAACCTGAAAAACAAAAACTGGAGTAAAGAAGTAAACAATGCATAATTGCTGTTTTTTTCATTTGTCAGATTGCAAAGTATTTGAGGCAGTTGATGCCAGACACTAAAGTAAGTTCTTTATCTCATGTTTTACCGATCAGTTATTTTAATTTTGATGGCTTTCTCATTCGCTCCTGCACTGCGCAGAAAGGTACTGTGACAAAAGATGTTTCAAATGCAGTGAAGGAAGCAAGGGATCAAGGCGTTCTTTTCAAAAAAGACAAAACAGCCATTGTCCATGTTGGCCTTGGGAAGGTACTACACACATATGTTTAGACACAATATATATATATACACACACAGATAAATTGATATGTGTGTGTGTGTGTGTGTATATATATATATATATATATATATATATATATATATATAGAGAGAGAGAGAGAGAGAGAGTAATATACATGTGCGGCCGGCCGCACCAGAGGGGCCGTCCGGCCGACGGCGTTTGGCCGCCTTCCCGGTGGAATTTTTTGTTGAACTTTTTATGGCATGTTCTTCATCAAGTCTAGTTTATCCACAAAAAAAATCAGCTAAAAACTCAATCCGGAAGGTCTTCAAATGATTTTTTGAAGTTGACTGCGTTTTTTGTGTGTAATTTTGCACAGTTAACTTCCAAAAATCATTTGACGACCTTCCGGATTTAGTTTTTAGCTGATTTTGTTTGTGGATAAACTAGACTTCATGAAGAACATGCCATAAAAATTTCATCAAAAAATACCACCGGGAAGGCGGCCAAACGCCGTCGGACAGACGGCGGGTCTTGTGCGGCCGTCCGCATGAGAATACCACTCTCTCTATATATATTGATAGATATATAGACGGAAATAATCTTTCATGGATGCCTAATGATCATTATTTTGGGTGATAACTTGCTAATATCAATTATTTTGCAGATGAGTTTTCCAGAAGATGCTCTCTGTGAAAATGTTGGTGCATTTGTGAATTCCCTTTTGCTTGCGAAACCTGCTGGCTTGAAAAAGAGTAAGTTCTTTCTGTGGTCCAATATGAGTATGATACGGAGTATAAAGCGCTATTTGTAGACATTTTCCCTTCGCAACCTCTTGTTGGAATGAGGAAATCTAACAAATACCTATTGTTTGAGAGGAGAATGAATGAGGATCAAATAAGAATTCTTTTCCATTCTTCTGTTGGTGAGTGTCAATTCTCCTCAGAATTGGGAATAAACAAACAATGCTAGGGGAGGGATGGGAATTGGGATGGGCAATTCTCCGAAGCTGAGGAATTTCTCAAAGTAAAACAATGTGACACCAAAACAAACAATGGCGTGTTATTGATATGAGCAAGTAATGGAAAACTTTCTTTGACTTACCATACAAGCTGTTAATGTTCAAGTGAGTGGTTCCGACACAGATAAGTCAATGGTAACCAAGGTCATTCACTCATTCTTGTCTGGACTTGATGCTTGAATGAACAAGTGTGAATGGGTGTCAAACACCCTGATGTGGCCAGATTGGCCCGAATTATTTCTGCTTCAATACTCCACATGACTTAGTTTGTTCTTCAATTTTAAGTTTCTTCCGTTTCCTACAATGCAGGTTCAAAATATGCGGGTTATGTGAATACGTTTCATATATGCAGCACTGTAAGTGATAAAAATTTTCACTTAATTTGATGTAGTGACATAGATGCTTATATAGTTATGCACAAAATTAAATTAGCTCTATTGGAAAGGCCCAACTCCTAAGAGTTATATACCACTCCGCCTTAGTAGTGTGCTTATAGATTATTGGGGATAAGGAAGACCCTTTTACTTTTTACCTTTCATCCCCTACTTGATCATTAGTAGATCAGTTTTTATACATGCATGCATATATACTCTCACCTTCTAAGTGATATCATTTCAGAGATATATCTTCGAGGTTTTTCTAAATATATCCCATAAAATTCTTCCCACTTTGACTTGGCACGGAGATTAAGAAAGTGGAAATGTATGGTTGTGGTTGTGTAAGAAAAAGGTGAAATGAATGTGAACCACACAAATTGTCCAAAAATGGTAAGTGGGAAGAATTTTTTGGGACGACCCAAAAAGGAAAGTGAACAAAATTTTATGGGACGGAGGGAGTAGCATTTTCCAAAGCATTCTACATTCTACTCTTAGGGTAGACTAGAGGTTAAGAGCCTCTGGATTTGCATGAGTAGGCCCACTGGTCGAGAAATCGTGCTCGGCCGGAATGGACGAAGCCTTCCGTGGGAGGGAGAAAGCTGAAAGGATGACACTTTTATTTAAAGGAATATTGCACAAGTTCTCTTGATCACAAGGAATGTAATATCTCAATCTTTTATGATGCAGATGGGTCCCGCATTTCAGGTTTCAATACAATCATTATCCATAGCGGCAGATCGTTTCACAAGAAGTCACATGCAATGATCCTGCTGTGTATTTACTTTGAAATGTTGCATTTCGTGTGTCTCAATTCCCTGTAGCTCATTTGATTCCGAGTACAAAAATGATATTTGTTTTATATTCGAGGAGGACTCAGGAGGAGGATGGTATGATTTTATTGAAATGTCAGACTCGTGTTCTCCGGTTTCTAGATGTCATTTCTCAATTGTCCAAATTACTGTAAATGTGGTCATTCGAGAGGTGAAAGTACAATGTGGGTGAGAAGTACATTCCACCCCTTGAAGGACCATATTTACAACAATTTGGACAATTAAGGAGTGACATTTACAATCTCAGAAATATGGGGTTGACATTTCAATATGGTGACTATTTAAGGGACTAAAAGTGCGATTTTCCCTCGTATTAATTAAAAAAGCAAGTATCTTTTGTTGAGTAAAGTGTGCCACCGTTGTTATTATGCCGGATTAAAGAGGCTATGTGCGTTCCTTCGAGAGAGAGCATCGGAAGATGGTCATGAGTCATGACACTCGCCGATGAGGAAGTGACGGCGGTGCAATTGCTCATCCTCGAGGCGGCAGCGTAGCGGCGGTGCAACGACGCTCAGCCTTGATGGCAGTCCATCGAAACCATGCTCTCTGTTCACAGAAACTTCTGCGCCTATTCCCTTTGATATTTTTGTGCGCACTTCAGGATTGATTATTCATTAAGAGAACATCTCTTCATCTAATACTTTGAAAGAAAGCGGTGGCGGACCTTGTAAGTTGCAGGTTCTTTTGGTTGGTTTTGGTGCCTCACCCTCCTGTTTTTGGGTGTTGGCCGTGGATTTTTTTTTGCTGCTTGGTTGAGGTTATCCTTGTTGGATAACCTTGCATTTTTGTCCCCTTTTTACTTGTACATTCTTCCCCCCCCCCCCCCCCCCCCCCCCCCCCCCTCTTCTCTTGGGTGTGTTTTTAATATACTTACCGTTCACCCAAAAATTGAAAGAAAGCGGCTGAGAGAACTCACTGGAATTTTGCTTATTAACTTTTAAGAACTCAACTGAAATTTTTCTTATACAATTTACATGAAGATAATTGCAATGAATTATTTTAGACCTTACTCAATTTACATCTTGAGCACACTCAAGTTACATTTGGATTTGCTTAAAGTTACATATATATAAGCGTGAGTTACATGTCAATTTTTTTCAACAAGTTACATCTCATTTACACGTAATTTACATTTTCTATAATGCGAGTTACACCGTAATATAATGCAAGTTACACAACACAATAAGCCTCTGCTATTCAAAGAAAAATTATTTTTATAAAAAAAATCATATTTGTAGCGTTGATGTTGAAAATAAAACATATACACTATTTATGAAATATAATTGGACAATTAGACTCCTTTTTGTCAGTTTTTACATTGAAATCAATGCTTTACTTCATATACTCTATTCTAGAAAACTTACATTTCAACTTGATTTAAGGGGTTTAATGCACCAAACCCCCTCGTGATATAGAAATTCAGCACATTAACCTCCTGTGATTTGAAAAATGCATTAAACCCTCTTGTGTTTTAATTAATCATGCACAGAACCCCTTTTATGAATAAATTTAATGATTTTGAAATCACTTTTCCTAATATTTTGATTGAATATGCAACTAAATATGTCAAAATCTCTAAATCATACAAAAAATGTTAATCAAATTTCTTTTATTATTTGACAATTGAAATTGTTCATAGAAGAGATTTTGCGCATAATTAATTCAAACACAAGGGGGTTTGATGCATTTTTTAAATCACAGTGGGCTAATCCGCCTAATTTTCGTATCACAGGAGAGTTTGGTGCAGTAAACCCTTGACTTAAGTTACATTTCTTTTTAATGTGAGTTACATTCCTTTAAACACGAGTTACATCAACCTCGTGTTAAAATTTAAAAAGAAAAGCCTGGGAGCAGTGGGAGCGGGATGCTCACTGTGAGTCACTCTCACGGTATACAAATTGCACACATCAAATTATACCATGGGACCGATACGACGTGCGCATGGTGCACCGGTCCCTAAAATGACATTGTTTTGTTTATAAAAAAATATATAACCCACTAATTTAGCGATGAACATGGGAATGATTGGGAGCCGCCGCCTATCAAGGGTGCCTCAGAGACAGACTTAAGGACTTCAGTCGGAGAAGGAGATGAGAGCTGTGAGACTGTCGAACAAAGGACTGTAAATGACAATAGAGTGGTGATCCGTTGTCTCCTTTGCAGCGGCATAGATGGAAGCGACATCCATGGCAGCCTGCAGCAGGGCTTGGCCACCTGCGATTCTAGGATGATTTGGCCGGATGACGGCGCCTATGGAGACCCCCACAGGATGACGACCTGCTGTGTCTGGACCCTTACGCTTCGTATCCGACACTCCACTGAATTAGAGATGGATGTTACAAATTAAATCTGTTGTTCTTTGTCCATGCATGTTTCTCCAGGATTTGTGTGTATGCTGCTATAAAGTTTAAGTCTACTATTGTAATTTTGTACTCCCTCCGTCCCTTAAAACTTTGCCATCTTTCCTTTTTTGGACGTCCCAAAAAAATTTGCCACTTTCCCTTTTAATCAATTATTTGTGGTTTCTCTTATTTCTCTCTCCTCTGCACAAACCTCAACCACACAGTTTTTACTTTATTATTTTCCGTGCCGGTCAACTTTGGCAAAGTTTTAAGGGACAGAGGTAGTATCATTCTAATAGTATGTCCTTTTGGGACTTAAATTGGAGCCCATTAGGACCTCTCACTAACCTTGTTCATAGGATCAACTATGACCACTCTGTTTCCACATTATATTGATATCATCCATCTTGTTGTCCAAGAGGCATTGGGACAGCACCCTTGTGTTTGAGGACATGAAAGACAAGATCCTCTAGAAGGAGTTCTCTATGAGAATAAATGGGAAAGATACTTCAATAGGAGTCCTGGCATGTATATTTATAATAGTAGAGTTCTAAACATACAAGGAAATAAATCAGCCTAATTAATATTCTATTACACCCCCTCAAACTGTGCGGGAGATACAACGCGCAGGTTGTCCTTTAAAAAATAAAATTGCTGACTAGAAAGACTTTTTGTAAAAATATCAGCTAATTGAAGTTGTGTAGGGATGTACTTCACGACTAAGTCTCCATGCGCCACACGTTCCCGGACAAAGTGATAGTCTATCTGGATGTGCTTGCTACGAGCATGTTGAACAGGATTAGCAGTCAAATAGGAAGCAGAAATGTTATCACAAAATAACTGAACCGGTACTGTAACAGGAAAGCCAAGCTCAAAAAGTACGGAACGAATGTGCAACGTATCCTGAACAGTATATGCAACGGCTCGATATTCTGCTTCTGTAGAGGACTTGGACACGGTAGGCTGCTTCTTAGATTTCCACGAAACAAGATTCGGCCCCATGAACACTACAAAACCAGTCGTGGACCGTGATGTATCTGGGCAACCTGCCCAATCCGCGTCTGAATACGCAATAACGCATGTGGCCCTATAAGTAGGTTGTAGCCATAGTCCATGATCAAGTGTGCCCTGCACGTATCTAAAAATACGCTTGACTGCAAACAAATGAGTAGTGCGAGGGGCATGCATAAATTGAGACACTAAATGCACAGCATATGTAATATCAGGTCGTGTCAAAGTTAAATGTTGTAATGCACCTACCATACTTCTATACTCAGTGGCATCTGTAAGAAGTTCCCCATCAGTAAGGGATAGTGAAGTACGAGTAGCAAGCGGAGTGCGAACAGACTTAACAGTGTGGAGATGGAAACGAGAAAGAAGATCAGAGACATATTTATGTTGAGAAAGAAACAAACCTTTAGAGGAACGCACAACCTGGACTCCCAAAAAATAATGAAGTTCTCCAAGATCTTTCATAGCAAAATGTTTAGCAACAAGTTGAATGAAGGAGTTAATGACAGCGGAAGAATTACCAGTAATAATTATGTCATCAACATATAATAATAAATAAATGACATTAGTATTCTGGCGGTAAATGAATAAAGAATTATCAGACTTGCTGCACCTAAAATGATTGTCTTATAAATCCACTTAGAGCCCACAACATTTGTAGTATGATCAAAAGGTACTAAATCCCATGTATTATTAGAAATAAGAGCATTAAATTCCTCAACCATTGCCGCTCGCCAAATTAAATGTTTATTAGCCTCAGAAAAACACGAAGGATCAGCTGATAAGACAACATCGTTTAAATTAAAAATTGATTTTGGTTTAAAAATGCCCGACTTTCCCCTTGTTTGCATCGGATGAATATTAAGTATCGGGGCAGGACCAATATTCGGCGGAGGCACGACAGCCGTGGTGGTGGGAGAGTTGGGTGAGGCAGTGAGTTGGGATGGGGTAGGCGGTGTTGAAGAAGAAGAGGGTGAAGATCCATTACCGGTTATAGGGGATGGCAGTGAGGGCGGAGAAGGGTAATGTGCGGCTGGGGAAGGTGAAGGGGATGGATGGCTGGGATTTTCGAGCACGGCTGGAATAGAGGGTTGGGAAAGTGAGGGGGGATAATCGGTATTGTTGTGCGAGCAGGGACGAGACATTGGTCTGGAGATGGGGTGGGTTAGAGTGAAGTCGGGAGCTAGAGGAATGGAGGACGAGGAAGAGGCATTCGTAGAAGAAGACAATGTGGCAAAAGGTAAAATATTTTCATGGAAGCGAACATGTCTACTTATAATAACTTTACCAGAGTTAGGCTCAAAACAACGATAGCCTTTAAAACCAGATGCATAACCAAGAAAAACACATTGTATGGAGCGCGAAGAAAGTTTATTGGAGGGAGAGGCAGAAAAATTGGGGTAACAGGCACACCCAAAAACTCTTAAAAAACTATAGTCAGGAGGTTTTTGAAAAAGAATATCGTAGGGAGAAACACCATTAAGTGACGGAGTAGGAAGTCTATTAATAAGATATGCAGCTGTAAAGATAGCATCAACCCAAAATGTGCTAGGTATAGAGGCAGTAATGAGCATAGTTCTAGCAAATTCTAAGAGATGACGATGTTTGCGTTCTGCAACACCGTTTTGTTGGGGAGTATGTGGGCACGATTTTTGAAAATAAATGTCATGTTCGTCAAAAAAATGCTGCATATTATTATTAACAAATTCACCCCCTTCATCGCTCTGAAAAATTTTAATTTTAGAATGAAACATATTTTCAACTAAAACCTTAAATAGACGAAACTGAGTAAAAACTTCACTTTATTACGCAAGGGATATATCCAAGTAAATCGAGAAAAATCATCAATAAAACACACATAATATTTAAAGCCTAAATTAGATAACACAGGTGATTGCCAAACATCAGAATGAATTAACTGTAAAGGGGAAGAAGAAGTATGACTAGCATCCGAAAAAGGTAGTCGTTGAGATTTACCCAAACGACAGGAAACACAATCATGTTCAAAATTAGAAGAACTAGAAATAAGTTTTCTATGATGCAACAAGCACAAAATAGTTTCACCACAATGTCCTAGTCTACGATGCCACACAGGGCCAGGAGGAGTGATTGTGGCAAGAGCTAACGGTGTAGATGATGTAAGACTGATAGGGTAGAGATGGCCATTATGTCGCGCCTGAAGAAGAACTGCCCCCGAAAGTTTGTCCTTAACAAAAAAATAGTTTTTATCAAAAACAACACAGTTGTTATCAGCGCATAATTTTTGAATAGAAATTAAATTAAATTTTATTTGAGGCACATGAAAAACATTTTTCAATGACAAGGGACGACTGAAAGTATTTAAAGTAATATTTCCAATATTAGCAATAGGTAAATTAGTGCCATTGGCCACACTAACAGTCATGGAGTCCGAGTAAGAGAATTTATTTGACAGAATACCTTCAGAAGAGGTCATGTGAGCAGAG